GGATACTGTATATATTAAGGCTAGACTAGTAGCAGTAAGGAAAACTTCACCTTGAGAATCAATTGCAAGTTGACTGCACAGTAGAAAGGTTAGATTAATTACCAGACATGCTAGAAACTCACAGACAGACCTTTAAACAGAGGGCAGGCCTGCTACAAGGACTAGAAGCTGGTTTACAATACCAGAGAACATAGAGCAAGATTAGGAAACAGATACACACAGTAAGGTATTGGAAACACTGCCTTAGGACACTGAACAATCAGATTTACATGAAATAAATTCACTTGTTCATTGCCATTGTCAGAACTTGAGTATCCACTGAATCCAAAGAATCCAAAGAGCTATTGCCTGGATCCAGGTCAGGATCCTACCTTTTTACAATTTCTGCTCTCTGTATTACACAATTCACATAACTCTTTCTTGTAAGGTTGTCTAAGGGTCTCACTGATGCGAATCTATTTGTCTGTAGTGTATTCAAGCTTTGTGGCTCAGCAGTATCTTGTGTAGTTCTTTTTCTGTGGCCTTTACTATTCCTATCTGTACTACACTTAATAGGGGGTACAGAACTATGGTGGAAATTCTTTTCCTTGCTCTCTTTGCCTTTCACAGTTTCTGATTTGTCTTCACTGTCATCAGAGGCATCTGGAACTGTAAGTTTCATGTCTGGGTTCAGTCTGTTCATTTTAATATCATGTTTTGCACTGGGTGTATGTGTCAATCCTTAAACATTAGTATGATAGTACATATATGTAGGTATTTTATTCTGCAATGTGTATCCTTGCCCTGCTAGGGTGTTGTATCTGTAGTATGTGTTCTTGCCTTGATCTTCTATCTTAGGGCAATACATTTCTTACTTGAAACAAACTAGTAATTCCTGAGGAGTTCTGGGAGCCTTACTATAGCCTTCATTTCTGAAATTCCATTGTCCTAATTCTGCATTTCGTCTATGCTCTATCTCCTGAAAATACATTCTTTGTACATTAGAATCTGCTTTGCTAGAACTGTCTAGTTCTACCTGACTGTAATTACGAATGTCTGGAGCTTTTCCTTTATTTGCTCTTACACTTCTCTTATTACTAGGTACAGGTTTACCTGGATCTTTCTTCTAAGGATGTGTGCTTTCAAACTGTAGAGTATCTTCCAATCGTTTAGACATTCCTTTAGTAGCTTCTGAGTGTTGACAACATACTTTCTGATACATCTATTTAGCTAACTTGTCTCCAGTTAGTTTAGATGGATTGATTGTGTCTAAATCAATGTTTCTTTCATGTTCCTAATACATACTATCATACTTATGAGTTCTCTTGTTCAATTCCTCGATATCAATTCTTTGATTGAATGGACTGGCTAGCTTACTCATGGCTTTCAGTGTCTCTAGCCTAGGGACGTTTCTGAATGTCTTTCTAGCCTTCTGGAACGTTTCCTACTGTAAGGAAAGTATTGTTCCTTTACTAATACTCTTGTTCTTACTGACAGAATCCTTAATGCCAGTTTCCTGAGCATTTACACTCTCTGTACTACTATTATCTACTTCTGTGAGTCTAGTAAGGTAAGCACTCACTAGTGTCTGCTCTACAGTGTGTATCAGTCTAACAATATGTGCTGGTACAGGTACATGCCTTTGTTCTATGTTACTTGTATGTAATAGTTTATTAGGGTGCCTCCAGCCTAGTGTAGACAAGGACTTATTACTTAGTAAAGGGTTATCAGATTGCCTCCAGCCTGTAACAGACAAGGACTTATTCTCTAGCATGTTAATAGCAACTTCCAGACTTGGGGGCCCTTCCAGGATTGTCTGCTGAGACTCAGTAGCCACATTGTGTTCAGTACTCAACAGATAATCTTGTTGTCCATTGTCTACATACTCTACTAATTTGAAATCTGTAGTGTGTACTGTTTTGAATCTCTCTACATTCAGAGAAAGCTACTCTTTAGCACTTCCAAATAATGCTTGCCTCTTGTGATTTTGACAAGGAGGTCTCTCTGTATCAAGGGGAACAATCTGTTTGCATCCCTCAAGCATTCTGAGTATCCTAGTAGTTATAGTGAGAGTATATACATTTCTAATTTAGATTTGCAAACTACTCACTTGTTTCTTTGAATTTGAAGGAGTACTAAACAATGTGAGGAATGTATTAGAGTGATCAAGCCCTCAGTTCTGGTTGTCAAAGCCTAGCAGGTTTATGGAAAGGTGGGTTCAGTCAAAAATGTGTAAGGATAGGTATACTAGCCTTACACAAAGATTCTCTCTTTACCAGCACACTCAACTACTGACTAGGATAACCTAGTAATCAAGCACCAAGAAGGAGAAAGAATCCCCTAACCCTTAGCTTGAAAACCCTTTATATATGTGTATATACATGTAGTAGGATACAGGGTAGTCTAGTAAACAAAAAGGAAAACACTTACAAGTACTTACAACACATGTTGTGCAAATGTGTAAGTAGTACAATTGTTACATCTGGACTCTTAAGTGTTTCTTCTACACTCTTAGATTGATAGTTCTGATCTCTACTATTTGTAAGTACTGTAGTATGTCTGGATTTTGTTCTGTAGCCTGCCCAAAGTGTTTCATACTTTTCTGTTACTATACTATCAAGTCTGCTCTTGTTTGATGAAGGAGTTGCTTTCTCCTCTTCCTAATACATTCCATCAAACTTGTATGTTCTCTTATTCAAATCTTCAATGTCTATCAAACTGTAGAATGGGCTAACATGTTCTATGTTTATCTCAATTTCTCTGGCTCTTATAATGTGTCTGAAGGTCTTACTTGCCTTCTGGAAATCTTGTTCCTTATCAAATCTCTGTGGTTTCAATGTCTGGCTCTCCTAGCCTTTGTTACTCTTGTGTTCTGAGTCCTGGCTGTATTCTTCACTGTCTAAAAGGGTCTTAGATGTCTTATTACCCTCTATATTACTGTTGTCAATGTGTTTCCATTCTAAAGTAAGTACACTTACTAGATACTCATCCATACTCTTACTAATACTAACTATATACACTCTGTAACTCTTGTACTAGCTTGCAAATTCCTTGATACTTACTGTTAGCTCTCTATGTCAACTTGGTGAATTCTCAAACCAAATCACCTGTCCTCTATTAAGTGAATCCTCAAACTTAGTAGCCTAAAATTGATTGAGTGAATCCTCAAGCTCAATTGCTTGTACTCAGTAAGTTGAATCCTCAAACCCAACCTTCTGTACTCAATTGGACAAATCCTTGAATCTAATTGTCTAAGCATTTCTACTCTCTGTACTACTATTTGCTATTCCTCTGAGTCTAGTAAGGTTAATACTTGCTAGTGTCTGCTCTACAGTGTGTGTTTAACTAACTATATGTGTTAGTACAGTTACATGTCTTAATTCTACATTATTAGTATGTACTAGTTCATTAGAGTGCCTCCAGCCTTGTGTAGACAAGGACTTATTGTTTAGAATAAGTTTATCTGGTTGCCTCCAGCCTACAAGGGACAAGGACTTACTTCCTAGCATGTTAGTATCAATATCCAGACTTGGGTACCCTCTGAGAATTGTCTGTCAAGGCTTGGCAGCCACATTGTAATTAATATCTAATAGATAATCTTGTTGTCTATTGTCTGTAAACTCAATGTACACCTGTTTATTCCTTTTCACTGTCACAGATGCCTAGTCCTTGACCCATCCAATCAATGTGAACCTCCAGTGTATCCAGTACTGGTCCATATTAATATGTGATAATGTGTTCCAGAAGCATTCCACAGTATTCTGAAGCATTATGAACCTACTAGAGGCCAATCTAGTAAGTAGTCTCTGTTTCTACTCAAAAATTGTAACTTTACTCACTAATAATTCCTAATAGGTACTAGACAATAAGGGAGACCTAGGGTTGATCAGACCCTTCAGTTCCTCAGCATCCAGCAAGGGGTTTCAATACTAGGTGGGTACAGTCAAAAATATGTAAGGAAACTCACTGTTCCTCACAAGAGAATTCTAATCACCCTTAGTTCACTCAACTACTGACTAGGATAACCTAGTACTCAAGTGAGGGGTCAGGGGAAAAGAATCCCCTTTACCTAGTGGTCAATACTGTCTTTTATAGGGGTATACATGTGTAGATACATGAGGAGAAAGTGTAACTAACTACAATGAGAATATATACACTTGTGGGTCCTACTACACAATGATCTGACACAATCAGCAATGTAGTAATAGTAAAATACAAACCAGTAAATCAAATCCTTACATTATATTAAGGCTATAAAAACTCAGCAATTGTTTAGGAAGGTAGAACAGTCTTACTACATTGGGAAAAAGTCCATTTAAATATAATGAATTACAGTCCATTTAAAGTAGTAGAAACATTTTATATACATTATAATATGACTGTAAGGGTTAGAACACAATTATAATACTAAAATAAGGAATATTAATGTATATAGGGACTCTAAAAGTGTTATAAATGATTAAAATTCATTGAATACATTATAATAACCAAAAATTATAAGCTAAAGTATTATACTTAGATTATAATTTTGAAAATAGTCTTATATTTACATTGTAAAACAGATTGTGTTATCTGTATAAGGGTTTCAACTACTTATAATATTTATATTACTGTATTTAGGAGAATATATACATGCTAGAGTACTATTAGCTATATTATAAAGTAAATTTATACATTTATTTTACATCTAAATACAATAATTGATTTGTTTTACAGCTTTGCTACTATCACGAACATTGATTACATAATCGACTGCTGAAGATCGAGTGCTTATAATGATGCATTTGTCCTTGTCACTTCTTTATCTCATGCCTCCACCATCTCCTACAACTCTCTACCACCTGTTCAATGCTAAGTTGCTACTCTTGTTCTCTCTAGCCCAGTCCTCTGCCTACAAGTGTCCCACCAGCAGGCACTCTGCCTGCTTCAACATAGGCAATAAACATCACATACTTGTCTCTCCAATCTGCTACTACAATGCCTGTGCTGAGCCTCAGATCCTGTAATGATGCCACCAAGCTGACTACACTGTCCTTCAACATAAAGTAGTAAGTAGCCAGTCCACTTCATAATCACCTGCACAATAGTTGCTCATCCCTTGTCTCCCTTCCATCCCTTCTGCTCCTTGTTCTGCTGCTTGCATTGCCTCTCTGTTATTGTCCTTCTTTCCTTACACTCACCTTCATTTTTCATCTGCATCTGCATTATTGACCAATGTCAAACAACTTCTTTAATAACTCTACACATTTGCATACTTCTTCCTACTTTGTAGCACAAGCAACAATCTATAGGTATGCTTGCAACAATGTCTAGGTACAACTACTCCCATGGTACCCTGTCTTTGACACTGTACACACTCTCCTTCCCCACCCACTGTTCCAAGCTTGACATGCCTTTACATTCCCCAGTACTGTTCATGACACTGTTTCGAATATTGGAAGCAGTAGTCAACCACTCACCCCTCTGCTGAGTCTGTCCATACCCTCCACTTCACTTTCTCTCTTTGAGCCAGAACCTCTCAGAGATACACCTTTGTAGCTATCCATAATTACTCAGCCTACTGTACTTCTGATTGTAAGATGTAGTCAGAGCATACAATGTGTGTGTACAAACACAGCTTTGCCTGTAGCCCAAATCAGCTTGTTTAACACTCTAGATCTCAACCCTAGTACACTACTCACACTTGCTTTGTACTGTTACAGTGTGTCCATCTCCTCAATCCACTTATCCACTCACACTAATGCTAACACTCACACTTACACTTTCAGCCAGTCAATCTTACAACCTGTGTCACAAGTATAACAGCAACCTCTTCAACTTGTGCAATCTTACAACCCACATACATGTATAATTCAACTTGTAGGGACAGAGCAACAACTAAAACATAGTGATGAAGACTACATCAAACGATCTGAAAATGCATCCATCCTCTTTTATCACAAATGCTGTTTGAAAAAGAACAAGGCAGAGGCAGCTCATTATACACTGTAAGTACTGTAAGTGTCTCTTCATTAGCATCTACCACTGATTCTGACAACTATAGTGAATCTGACTCACCCTCTGCTTATAGTTCACTGTATGGCTGCCCTTCAGATATTTGTACACAATGTGTAGTGGTGTGTGTGAAGTGGAAATGGTGGACTTTGCTGATTTTGAGATGGGTGATACAGAGTGATTGAAAGGACAGGGTCAACTACAGACATGGTCATAACTGTTGAGCTTCTCAATGCCCCTGCTTTCTGGTGGTCTGTCTGGATCTGGTCAAGGTACGGGCCTGGCAATTGACACCTATAATGTACTTGTTTGCCACTTGAGTCTGGTCCAATCCCAACCTCTGCCTACTTGTATTTGCATCACAGCAGACACAGACACTCTCACTTGCTCTCTGCACAAATCTTAACACAGACTGTACTATGTATGTGTTTCAGGTTTATTTTCCTTAATTATTGTAGATAGTGATGTATTGTATAAATATTTTAATATAATTGATTTTTATTAATTTACTGTTGTTTTCATAAATATTGTCACACGCGCGATTCGTGATTTTCGTCACACTAAGTACACTCAAATACAAAATCTATTATAACTCAACTAATACTTAACCAAATTACATGATCTAAGTTGTAAAAATTATACTTTTGAAGTATCTCTCATATTCCAGAAAAAATAAAGTAAAATGAGCAAAAATTGAGCAAGATACAACACAATATGTGAGTTTTCCCTATATTTCATGTATATG